ATATATATATATATATATCATAATAATTGTTCATATGCATTTTACAGCGCTCGGCGGGTATGACAATTGTGGCATAGAGGCCCCGATTTTCTGCAGTGCAAAAACTATCTGCTAATACAAATGCATAAACTACTGTGCGTGGTCTGATCAATATCAAATGAATCTAGTTCGTCTGATATTGATTCTATCCATGTATTGAATATGGAAGAAACCCCATATGCAAGACTCTTGACTTGAGTTAGTGGCATAGTACGAACACATGTGAACACAGGTAGTAAATGGAAAATCCGCACCATACATTGTACAATACGATCTACAACTCTGGATGATACTTTAAATAGCAGAGTTGAACATGTCTTCGCATCATTTATTATTATTACCAGAGCAGACGCCTCTGTCATATTTCAGTATATATTCTGTACCACTCTCTTATCTAAACCTATAACCTAGATGCCATACAATTATAAATCTAAGTGGAACTCTCCGGGAAGCACGAAGCAGCAATACATGAGCACAGTCACCCAGACTATCGTGATGAATGCAACCGGTCCGGTCTTCTTGATGAAGACTCCCTCACCAACGTCAGTCAACCCAATCACAGTCCGCGCCGCAATCACATTGTTAATACATCTGTGGTAGATAATTAAGTGACATGCGTGTAGGTAAGCGATGTACATTGCTAAACCCTAAAACCCTGGTACTGAAGTAGATGTAGGTATGTAAATTCGTTGCACACTCGTATGTTCTCAATATGTCTTTTTAGTGCATCTGTGACAGATGACGTACGTGGGTGACATACAAATGAATGAGTGTGTTATAGTATTATGTATAGTACAATGAGTACGTTGTAGTATAATGTAGAGTACAATGAGCGTGTTATAGTAAAATGTATAGTACAATGAGTACGTTGTAGTATAATATAGAGTACAATGGGCGTGTTATAGTAAAATGTTTAGTACAATGAGTACGTTGTAGTATAATATGAGTGTGCTATAGTACAAAGTATAGTACAATGAGTGTGAAATAGTACAATGTATAGTACAATGAGTGCGATATACTAAAATGTACAGGCACTGTTATCTACACATCGTTATTAACTATGTGGTATAAGGGTACATGAGGGACATACACGTGAGAAATGCGTGTGTACAGGTCACCATGCAATGTTCAGGTATGTGTGTCGGGTCATTGTAGTGAATTTCTCTATTCCGTTTTTAATATGCATGTGCGCTTGCATTGCTCATTCAAAACGTTGCGATTTAGCGTACTCACTAAACCCTAAAACCGTGGATGTGCGCAAGTACGGAGTACGGTACATAGACAACCATATACATCCAGCAAAATAGATATATACACTAGCGTGCGAAGACTTCCCGAAATGGCACTAATGAGTTTGAAGCCTAAAATTTACATCAGAACGCAAGCATACATAATATACCTACATTAGAAGCACCTGTGCAGTTTGCACACGACTATTTGCGTCGTTTGAATGACAAAGCATAAAGATGTAATTTTCTATAGTAGTCTCCGAGTATCTCAACCACAGTCACGTACATATAAATCTATCGAAGAGCCAGATTAAAGCCGTCTACGCGACTATGCCTAAGAAATACTTCCGCATTTTGAAACTACCTACCTTAGAGCTCAACCGAGAAACCAAAACAAAACACGCACAGCTACATACATGGCATTTCCAATAGAAGCACCGAAGGCTTGCATGGCCAAGATCGTGGTTGGGTTGTAGCCTGAATTGACTGCCGCTACGTACTGCACCTCACCGAACGTCAAACAGGACACCGCGGTGGACCCAGAGAAGAAGGAGCCCAGGGCACCCAGGAAGGGGGCCAGAACGAACCACCAGCCACCAACCCATCCACTCACAATGGAACCAAGTAGGTATGCCGGGGATCCATAACCTGGGAGATAGAAGGAACAAGGGTGGAGATATGGACCGGATTAGAGGGGTGAAGCGGAAGGCTGTGTTCAGGATGAATCCGGGAGATGGCCACGGCTTATGCCTTGGTCGTGTTTGACTTGCTTACGCTGAGCATGTTTTGCACGGAAACTGGGTCGTGAAAATTATACTATTGCACATCAATACGAACCCGAATAAACTATCAGCTGGCAACTTGGATCGAGGGGCAGTGCGAGAGCAACCTGAGCCGTTCTCATACAAAACCCCAAGCCCCAGAGTACAATGTACAAAGTACAAAGTCTGTGGTAAAGCTTGATATGTATAGCTCCACGGAAGAGACAAGACACCGTGACACATACCTCCGTTGCGGATCAGACCCACCAGCATCAGACCTCCCAGCAGCGCAATAGCAGCACTGGCCACACGGTTTCCAAGGATGCCGAGTTCCTTGATCGGATTGGTGCGCATTTCACGCATGTCCTTCCAGAACATGATACAGGCGATCCATGATATGACGAAGAAGGGAAGGATACCGGGCACATACAGGGTCTCGTACTTGGAGCTGACGGTTGTATCTCCGAGGATGTCGTTGAAGAGCATCTTCAGACTCGCGGAGATCTGGAAGTACATCAGCGTACCCAGCTGAACGCCCACATTGGGATCGTTGGTAGTCAACCAGCCCTTGAGCGGCAACTGTTTAATGCAGAAAAGGTATCATCAGCAACAACGCATTGACTACATGTTTATGAGTGACTAGCCATAGCCTATATGAATATATGAGTGACTAGCCGTAGCCTGTAAGATGCGCAAGGAAAACAATAGCAATGCCTTCGAATAGGACTGTGATTAGACCGGCATATAGCACTCGGCCTACCGTGGGCTAGAGCATAAGTGGGCTCGTTCAAGTTTTGCGAGGTGTATCACACGCACTACAGTGAGCACTTGAGAGAACCAAGGATCAATTGATTAAACCTCTGGGCTAAAAATTGATCCTCCGTATCAGGTTAATATACGATGTGGTACGAGATCGGTGAAGGTGTTGTTTTAATTGTTAACATCTATGAGGGCATATATACACTTTCATAAGGTCATATACATTGCAAATAATAGCCGATGAACTCCTGAAACCCTAATAAAAACCTCTAAACCAGACAACATGGGGTAAATGATGGTAAAACTATCTTGTAAAATCGGAGGTCACAGTTTGTCGATTACTCAATATACACAACTATACACATTCAACACAAATGGTCACAAATCTCATCGTTACGTTTCTAACATACTAGAAACACAGAAAAAGCTGAGACTCTCGATGTACATTAAAAATGGTCAGCAATCCAACACACGCAAAGGGTGAAAACATACGAATGATGCACATACGAATCTTATCTCGATACCATACAAAACCAGACAAAACCGGAATTCCACATGCACAAGTACAATGTTGAAATGCATGATTGCAGACATCGGTAATTAAAATTCATGAACTCTTAAAATTCTCGCAACAGTTCGGACAACCGTAACTGAGATTCTACACTAAACGATGGCCCACATTCGTAAGCTCTATTTCACGGACAGTACTGTTTCAAATGCACCTACCATCGGAAGACGGGTCAGGATTAGCAGCACAACCGTTCCGGTGAGAGGGAAGGTGCGCAGCAAGCAGGCGGTGACGTACTTGCCACCGGTTTCCCTGGGCTTGAGCTTGTAGACGGGTTGTTCATCTCCATCCACAGCGATGTCGCTGAAACTGGGTCGACTGATACTATCATCCTCCAGTTTGTTACCCTCATCGTCTACTTGTGCTTCGGGGTCGAATGCGGACTCCACCGCGTGTGTGATGGTCACGGCGGCGGTGGTGGCTTCGATTGCCGACCTGGGTGGTAGTGAGGTTTATAAAAGTTTGGGGTTTGGGGTTTGGGGTTTTGGTCACAATCTGTAGGCGTAGCTCTTTTATCTTCATTTATATAGCAGGCTATGATGAAGTTGGAGGGAAGTGGGTTTGAATACTCAGGGTTCAGTAGAATCAGGGCAACGCAAGTGCTTTTAGATGGAAGCCATCTGGTCAGGTTTCCTTCATTTAGGATACATGGGATAATAAACCGTGTGTATCACTACTCGATGTTATTTTTCCGGTTGAATACGCTTGGTATATTCTGCGTGGTAAAGGATAGATATTGAGCACCTCGTCTCATTTTCTGAAAATAGATTGGATGAGGTGCTATATCTCATACTTCCTGATCAGCTGATTATACACTCCAGTCCAAGTCTATTGCCGAACGAGAAGGTATATTCAAGTGACTTATATGCTGACGCACAAGATTCTCTGTACACTTATAACATTTCCTTCTCCTTGCATGAGGTGTCTTATGTGCAGACATATTGAGATATGGTATGCATTTACGCTCGATACTAAAACGCGATTCTATGAAAGCATGCAGAAATATACATAAACATATACGTACGTATGCAAGAATACTATACCCGCACACTTGCGTACTCGTATATATATATATATATATATATATATATATATACTTATATATATATAAATATGCATACACATATAAATATAAATATAAATATATATATTTATATATGTGTGTGTGTGTGTGTGTGTGTGTGTGTGTGTGTTTTTTGGTTTTTTTGTGTGTGCGAGTTTATGCGTGTGTGAGTGCGCAAGTGAGTGTATACACTAGTGCTGTTCGACAACTCGTGCATATACTAACTGTTCAAATACGATCATGAGAGAAAAAATACAGAGAAATTCAGAAGTGAACAGACAATCGCACAACTACAGTCGCTAAATAGTAATCGGCTTCTAATTGGTGTTTTAGACTGGAGTGTTGCCCCATCGAGAGAAAATTCAATCGAAGCGGTAGTGAGCGATGAATAGGAAAATAGGCTACGCCTTAAGATGATTGAGAACTGTACTGAACTTCAGAAGAAGAAAAAGAGACAGAAAAGCGCAGATAAAAACATGCACAAACTTGTACATACCCCTAACTAGAAAAACTCAACAATCAGCTTGGTCAAATCTATATGAATGAATGTACAATGCATACCATCGCAACTACAAAGCACTCGTTCGTATCTATTAAACAAATAGCGCCGGGTACGTTGCCAGCCGGTAACGAACCCCAATTCAAAGTACCTGATAGACTCGCGCCGTGACCTCTGTTCGCTCTGAACGCTGAGACTGTCCGTGTGTTCCTCCATATCCCCTTCCAAATCCTTCTTGCTCTCATTTTCTGTTGCGAAGTCTACGGTTGACTCTGCATGGCCAGCTGTGCCCTGAGATTCCTCCCACAGACAGCCACGTTGGTTCATCATTTGCCTATAAAAGGGTGCGGAGTATGCGTTCATATTTAAAAATCTTTTGGAAAAAAAAAGGTTTGGGACATATGTCTGCAAGTGATACGTTTGGGACATATGTCCAGCCACTGAGGTTTGAGCATTAAGCTCAGCTATGTGATGTTCTGCCTCCGACAGCCAAAGTCGAGCCTAAGCCTGAACACACAATCCACCACAGCAGTTCATGAATTGTTCCAAAGGACTACTATGCTCGTGTGCCCAGGTCAGGGTAGCAGAACGTGAGTTTCCTGCTCAGTAGTCTGAGGTGATCTAGTACGCCTGCGCGAGACAATCCGGGGGGAAGCAAGACACCTAAACAAGACAACTAAACATGACAACTAAACAATACAATTAAACAATATATTGTGGCTTCTCTATACATGAATCGTCTGTGTGTTAAAATCAAGCCTGTGTCAGATGAGTGCACGAGTCTGTAGTTCAACAGCTTTCTTGTGTCTGTTGCCGTGGTCCCAGCAGCTATTTCATGGTAATGAGACAAATGTGTTAACATAATGTGTGTTAAATACTAGCTGCAAATCTGACTGGTACACATTGACCTCCACTTTACAACCATGTATAGAGTATAGAGCAATGCTTTTTTGATATGTATCCTCTGAAACTCTGGCCAATTGTAATGGCGGTATAGTCCGGTACAGCACATCGCATGCAGATATCGCAGCATACAACACAGGTGCTCAAAGAATTGTCTTTAGCTCAAATCCTGTCAAAGAATCCTAATTCTGCAACAGGCCAATATTTAAAACAAGAATACGCACCCTCAATATCCTAAATTAACAAATCAAAGTTACATTGTAATAGCGATCAGTTGCCCGTGGCAATACATACCATTCCTCACCCATCATGTCCGGGTCAACGTCAGGCAAGAACAGCTTAAACGTCACCATCACCGCAGTAATACACAGACCGATGATACCGCCTAAGATGGTGGGGAACTCGTACGTGAACAGGGAGAGGCACAACATGGGAACCATAACCGACATCAGACTCAGATAGAAGAATATTATGTTCTTGAACAGGACTTTGAAAGGGATGAGGTACATGGCTGCCATCAACGGGAGGATAAGAGATCCAAAGCAAAGTGCGCACCCAGCCTGGAAACCAATCTCAGTCAATGTCGCAGCCTCTTCCCCTGGGTAGTAAGTGTCAACCACCGACCCGAGTCCGTACCAGATGGGTGTACCCACTGCACCGAAGACCGTGGCCATGGTGTTGGTCAAAAGTACCGCCACCACGCACAGCGTAGGATTGTGGCCCAATTGAGCCAGCATGGGAGCGGAAAGCGCTGTGGGAGAGAAATGTGTGAAAGCGGTTGTGTTAGTGTAAATGATTCGAAGCGTGTAAGTAACTTGTTAGTATTGATTGCGGACCATGTTTTTGACAAACATAGGATAATTAGCTCGATCCGGTCGAACCCATCGCATTTGAGTAGACAGGTGCGTACGCTAGTTTGTCAGACTGTGTATATTCTTTTAGATGGTCCGTGACCAGGTGTTCGTCTGCACGATTGCGCTATGATAGAAGAATACTATCAAATATGCCATCAAACACTAGATTTAATAATGCGAAGTGGTGTCCACAGTAAATTTTATAAACCAGAAAGGTAGCAAGTGACAATCGGGCTGGAAGCGGCCGGAGATCAAAGACAATGCAAGAATCAGAAAATGTCCATGAGATGTGACTCCCTGCGAGAATACGCAACACAGACCTGGACATACTATAATTCTAATGACTGTCAATTGCAAGCTCTGCGAGAAGATTACAAAAAACTGTGATCACGATGCACACTGGACTTGATTGCAAATTGGCATGGTTAAGCAAAGAATGTTCAATACAGCCTAAAATCAGCACAAACAAAGGAGGCAGTCATAAATAGTGATTCGCGTGACAATATAAAGGCACTCACATACCAGCAGGGGTTCCGAAACCACTGGCACCTTCAACTAGGTACGCGAAACAGTAACCAATCAACATGAACTCTGCCACTGGATGGCCTTTAGAGAGAATCTTCAATTCGCGCATGATCCACGGCATACATCCTGTGGCTTCCATTATGTTGAACAAGTAGATGGCACCACACACAATGGTGACAGGGGTCATAACCTCGGGAATACCGGAGAGCAACGCTGCAGTAGTATTGATAGGATCACTTGCCAAGTACGCAAGACGTACAATGTACATCAGCAGAGCAGATAAAGGAAGAGATACTGTTGTAGGTAGAGGATGCGGTATTAGCGTTGCAACAACAACGAAAAGGATTGGAAGGAAGATCATGATCACCGTGACGACTTCGCCCCCGGGTCCCACGTACTGTTCCCATTCTTGTCCTGTTGAATTGTCAGCCATGATGTTTACTTTAGTCTGCCTCTGTTTATTCAGTGTGGATATAAGTAGTCGTTCTGCTGTTTGTGGCTCCCTGACCTTCTTACGCGCATGTATGCATGTAATGCACGTCTGTGCATTAAACTACACAATATCTTCATGCTTTATGAGTTGAGGCCACAGAGCCACAGAATCGTTCGTCCAGATTCCAGAGCTTTCAATACAATCTTCAAATGGCCAATTCTCAAAATATAGCAATATTCCCATTTTTATTGGTAGAAAAATATTGCAATTGCCGATCATTGGACAAACCACAGAAATGGAAATTTTGGAAATGGAAACCGAAAAGTACCAAAGTAAACACTATATAGACTGAAGACTCAAAATTCCGTCATAAAGTTGCGAGGAAGAAATTTATAGCCATATATGGTAACTTTCTTTCCGAAAAAGATATACATTTTGCAAAACATCACAACATGTGATTTGCGAATCGAACCCAAAGACCCACCACTCCACCCCAGAATCCAGAGAGAGATTTGTGATTTGTGCGATGAAGATCAGAAAAAGCGATAAAATGCCATAGCCTACAACAAAATAATTATAAATAAATATTGTACAGTCGATTTTTAGAGATAAAACCAAGAAGGCCTCCTCTTGAATAATGAATAGAGAAGGAGGCTATGATTTAGCCTCTCAATATCTTAGAATTGGCCGTCACCCCGGCTGCCAGCCTGCGCCAGTACAAGGGGTATTTCGTTTACTCCAGCAGTCGTACATGATAGGAGATTCACATGACCCATCTGACCATCTCTCTCTCTCTCTCTCTCTATTTATAGACCGAGAGAGAAGAGGCCTGGACCGGACAACGACAGTCAAAGTCCATTGTATTTCTATAAAAAAACTACAATGTGGCACGTGCCCTCCATTTTGTTCGCAGTACATAATCGGAAAGGTTCGTGAGCGGACCTCAATCTCATCCGAGGCGTAGTGTATTGCTGGATGAAACGGATTTACGTCTTATTTAATACACGCAATATTCAAGGGTTTCTTCTGAAACACCAGTACAGTATTCTTCTGAAACATCAGTACATATTTTATGCTTACTCGTCACAACACCCTGTCAGCCCTGCCTTGATGCTCAGAGAAGTGTGCAACTGATAAAATAATCGGGTCATAGTGAACACAGAACGATATCAAGAGATGACGTCCTGTCTGTACTGTGCGTCCCTCATATTCTAAAGTTTAATACTGATACTTTGTAGCTGCAGAGCACTAGAGCGCTATCTAGGATTGTGTATATATAAAACATCAGCCTTTATAAATTGATAGTCTCAAATATACCACTCCTCTTATCTCGTATCCAATTTGCACTGTTTGCAGATAGGGCGAATTGAAAGCGCCTAGTTCCACATATTCCTGGTGCAAAATGAAGTGATATTAAAAATACCTGTATATGCTCGTGTAGCCTTATGGTAACCATATCATTTTGTCACATTTAGTGATTGCGTTCATCTGTAAACCCGCCCTGAAGTGCGATAACGCAATTTTTCTATCTGAAGAGCACTCATTACACACCTTAAACGAATCAATTTCCAATAGGCGAGATTCTAGGTCTAACCAACAATCCTGGTTTGAATGTACTTGACCTTTGTTCCTATTTCAAAGCTCACCTTTCGATCCGGACCACTCGCCGTATGATATGATACTCCTTAGCTCTTGTGATCTCAATTCCAGACAATAATTACTTTTGCCACGGGAAGTGAATACTACAACTGTATGGTCTAAAACCATGCATACCAACATCTGAATACGAAATTGCACACAAGCTCATTGATTCACCTTCCAATATCGTTTCTAACTACATATGTATGCCCATTCCACCATTTATATTTACACGCCACCAACGTACCACAAAAAAATACGGCTACGACTTTAAAATTGGAGAGAAAAATGTCGATAGTCTCGCTCATTCCAATAATCTTTTAAAATCATCTATCATATCGGTTGCATTCCCCAAGCTATAACACAGAATTTTGGCAGTCGAGACATATACCCGTGCCTCGGAGGCTCAGTATACTTTTGAAACGCTCCTCTTCTTGTATACTTTTGAACCCCTCTTCTTGTCACAGGCAAACTCCCCCACTTACAAAGTTGTGTACGACGGCTTACAAATTTATTCTTGTTGAGTATATGACGTCGCAATATATTCTTCTTATATTTATACTTAAATATATATATATAATATATATATATATATATATGTGTGTGTGTGTGTGTGTGTGTGTGTGTGTGTGTGCGTGTATC